TGGCCTGTCTCCTGCCTCCTCCAGCGTGTGTGTCCCTCTCCGTGTGGTTTCCCCGGGGGCTCTGAGCCCCCTGTGTGCTGCGGCACCAGGCTCTGCACCTCCCAGGTCTTCCCAGGCATGTCTCCTGCACCCACACCGAGCAGGAGAGCAAAGCCATTGGGTTCGAACACAAGATGGTTTATGCCAGGCCTGTGCTTCCACGCGCCCACAGGGGCTTAGGTGCTTTGTCCATGCACCTCAGGACGTGCCCCACGGTCCCAAGCTGGGCCCAGCTCCGCTCCGTTGACCCCAGGGGTGAGTCATGGAGACGGGGCCACTGCAGGGGCCGGGAGGATGGAGGGTGAATGGAGTGTCTGTTTAGCTAGGGGGCACCCACCCCTCCCGGGTCCCAGCCGCAGGTGGCAGGAGAGAATGGGGACGGTGGGGCTGGGCCAAGCCGGGCGTCTGTGCTTCGGGTGCTGAGTGCGTGGGTGACGACCGTGGCTGTTGTTCCAGGAGCAGTATGGCACATGGGAAGTTAGAAGGGATGATCACCATTTGTGCCTTTCCAAGGTGGTGATTAAGCAAACACAGCCTCTATTCCTTAGCTGGCAGGGGGAGCCATGGTGAGCTGGGTGGGCCACCAGTCCCGGCACCGGGACTGGCAGGGGTGCTGGAAGCAAGCGCGGTGGTAGCTGGTCCGCCTCAAAGCTTGTCACAAAATGTTGTCACAAAACAGCTGCCTCCCCCGCCCTCTCCCCCCCCCCACGCCCTGGCAGCCCGTATCAGAGCACACAGGGACCAGCCTGATAGGAACAAGCAGACAGACATGCACAGGACGTGGCCCACCGCCGGCATGTGGCTCCCACCGCCCAGGACCCGGCCAGCAGATCTGGTCACCAGCGGCTCTGGGGCAGCCTCTAGATGCGGCGCCACAAGCCCGGGCCGGCTGTTCTAGAATCCCAGAGGCTCCCAGTGCGGTGTCCCTCGGGGCTTTTAAGAAATGTCTTCCCAGTGGATGATGTTGCCCTGAACCAATTTCTCCTGGGGCTCGACAGCCCAGAGCTGCCTCACAGGCGGTGTGCGCCCTGGATCCTCACTTGTAATGAGTTTTCACAGAAACGCCACACTGAGCCCTGACAGCTGCAACACCCCGTCTCGGGGCAGCGGTCTGAGGGGGAACAGACGGGTGACCTCGCAGCAATGAGCCTGGCCAGCACCCCATGCCCGGGGCAGCCATGTCTGCTGCGGTAGATCTGAGAAGGCTTTCCAGAGGCGGTGGCGGCCGAGCAGGGTTCTGAGGACAGGTGAGAATTTGCAGTCTGCAAAGGGAGGCAGGGCTTACCAGGCGGAGGGCTCGGGGCAGGCAAGGGAGAGAGTGATGTCTTGTGGGTGAGTCGGAGCCGCTGGCCGCCGTTACTGTGGTGGGATGTCTGGTTCTTGGAAGAGCAGAGAGAGCCCTTGTGGGCGAGAAACAGGCAGGGGCCCCCCAGGCGGCTTTTCTGCTTGTCTGCAGAGGCTTCTGCGAAGGGGGGACGCACCTTTCAGTGGGGCGACTCTGGTCCTGGTAGTCGACTCTCTAGGGGTCAGAGCCAAGATCTGATGGGCTGGGACCACCTGCCGGCCTCCCATCCCCACCGAGCCAGGAACTGCCTCAGCAGAGTTTGCAGCCAGGATACAGCACTTGTCCCCTGATTTGATGCCCAGAACATCCCGTGGGCCCCCGGGGAGCTGGGCCTCGCAGCAATGAGCCAGGCAGATCAAGGAGGTGGGTGCTCCCCCGTCTGTGTAATCAGTGAGGGTGCAGGATGCAGCCCCCACCTAATGGGGGGGCATGGTGCCCGCGAATGGCAGGACCCTCATGTCTTCCCTGCGACTTATTTATAGCCTTGCTGTGGCAATTTGCGGCAATCACAGTATTTATCCTGTAATCACACTGCACGCAGGCTCCCCAGTGCAAGTAGGCACCCAGCCCAGCGAGGCCCGGAGCCTGCCAGGGCTCAGGGAGGACTTGGGGACAGGCAGGAGAGTGCGGGGGCGGCAATGTCCCCATCAGCCTCTGGCCCCATCTTTTTTATTTATTTTTTAAATATGCTTTTATTGCTTTTAAAGAGGGAGGAAGGGAGAGCGGGAAGAGAAAAATATTGATGAGAGACACATGGATTGGCTGCCTCCTACACACCCCCTACTGGGGATTGAGCCCCAAACCTGGGCAGGTGCCCTGACCTGGAATTGAGCCAGCAGCCTCTCAGTGAATGAGACAACGCTCAACCAACTGAGCCATACCAGCCAGGGTTGGCCCTATCTTATCAGCTGTAGTCCTAAGCCCCCCAATGCACCCTGGATGATAATAGTAATAATAATGATAATAATAATAATGACTTACATAGCATTTACTATGTTCCAGTTCCCATTCTAAGCCTTTTCTGTACATGAACTCGTTTATCCTCATTACCATTCTAGGAGGTCACTGCCATCATTATCCCCATTTTCCAGATGAGAAAACTGAGGCGCAGATAACACAGCTGGTAAGAGCCAAGATTTGAACTCAGGTGTTCTGGCTCCAAAGTCCATGGTTTCCCAAGGGTCCTTCCCAGGCCCAGATCAGGGCCCTCCCAGGCTCCACACCCACGGACTCAGCCCTGCCGGCTCCTGGCTTCTCCCGGTCCGCCTGCCCTTCAGCGGCACACGAGGCTGCACACACAAAGCCACACCCGGCTTCCCTCCTGGCCTCTTTCTCTTGCTGGTGAACTGGTCCCCTAGGGCAAACTGGGCTTCCGTCTCCAGGGTGTCACTTATGGATTTGTGCTCCTATTTCTTCTGCAGAATGAGGATTTTCTTGTCCACCTCCCCCGGAAGCCGTGGATGTCAGATGGATGAGGGAACATGTTGTCAAGCATTGTCCTCTGTTGAGTGTGGGGCACTCTTAGCTGGGTTCATGTGCCAGCTCACTCAGTCTTCTCAGTTGTGTGGCCAGGGGTGAATGACTTAGGTTGCTTGAGCCTCAGTTTTCTCATCCGTAAAATGGGGTAATAACAGGACCAAAACCCAGAGGTTACTTGTAGGGACTAATGAGATGATCCCTGTACAGCACACAGTGCCTGGGACATCCATCCTCAGTAAAACAGAACCATCTACTGCTGTCGTTTATTGTGACGCTGTCCCGAGGGCAGGGCCCAGGTGTCCTCTGGCCAGGTCCAGGGCAAGGTATAGGATGTTAGAAATAAGGCAGGAGAGTCGGAGCCCCTGGAAGGAGCATTAGGAAGTGCTGGGCAGAGCCAGGCCTCAGAACAAGTTTTTCCTCTTCCTCCTCCAAGCCAGAGCCCTCCATCATTTACAAAATGATTTCCTGTCTGTGTGGGCAGCAGCTCTGAGCTCATAAAGCAGTTGCCCTTAGACCAGGGTTGTGTCTGCGAGGACAGACAATTTCAAAAATGCACTTCCCTGCTGGGCAAATCTTCTCGTTTGGAATTCCTGGCAGATGCACCCTCCCCCGGGGCCAGTAGTGGCTGAGGAGATGATGACACAGACACACGTTGGCCGCTGGCTGGGCTCCCACCCACACCAGCCCACCTGCCAGGGTTGCCCGCAAAGCCCCTGGGAAGGACCCTCCAAATGTGCTTCCTGGGAGGGTGCAGCAGGCTCTCGGCTGGGGTGGGGGGTAAAGTGAGAAGAAGGAAAGGGCCACCCTTGCCTCGAACCGGCTGCTTTAAGAGATGAGCTCCCTGTCATTGAAGGCAAGCAAGTGGTTCACAGTCTAGCTGCGAGGCTCAGCCACACAGAGAAAGTAGTACCCGTCTCCAGGGGAGAGGGGCCAGCTGGACGGAAGGAAGGACTCCTCACTTTCTCGTGGTGGCCGCATCATCGTAGGCAGCGAGGGGGCTGCTGGATGTCTTTGAGGTCTCTCTGCACCTGAGAGTCCAAAGCAGTGATATTCAGGCATTAGATCAGGGGTCAGCAAACTTTCCTTTAAAGGGCCAGACAGTAAATATTTTAGGCTTTGCGGGCTGTAAAGTCTCTGTGGCGCAGAAGCAGCCACAGATAATACGTAGATGAATGGGCATGGCTCTGTTCTAATAAAACTTTATTTATAAACACCGGCAGTGGGCCAGATTTGGCCCAGGAGTGTAGTGTCTGTGTTGGAGGAAAGAGAGAGCAGGGAGGGTTGGCTGCCAAGGAGCACTTCCTGAAGGTGGGGGCGTTGAGCCAGGCAACTGAGGGGAGCAAGGAGAACATTTCTGGCAGCGCTGGCTTCCCCCACAGCTGGAGGGAAAGAGTGGCCATGAGTGTGGCCCCCAATGCTGGCCTTGTCTCTCTGAGGAGCCATCTTCCCCTGCATGGGGTTCCCATAATTCAAGGCCTCTGACAGCTTCAAACATAATTAGTTTTTTAAAATCCAGCAACTGTGGTCCGTTTAAAAAAAATATATATATATATATATATATATTTTTAAACACACACATATATATATATATATATATATATATATATATATATATATATGTTTTTTAAAATTGATTTCAGAGAGAAAGGGAGAGAGAGAGAGAAATATCAATGATGAGAGTGAATCCTTGATCGGCTGCCTCCTGCATGCCCCACACTGGGAATGGAGCTCACAACCTGGGCATGTGCCCCGGCTGGGAATTGAACCGTGACCTCCTGGTTCAACCACTGAACCACGCTGGCCGGGCTGTGGTTGTTTCCAGAAGGATGCTCGGCCCACATTTCTGTCTAATACAGGAAGTGGAAGCCATCGGACGACCCTTACACTGTTGCTGTTGCTGTTAGTGAAGGAAAGAGCAGGGTAGTTCCTTCCTAGGGTGGCCCTGCTGGCCCTGGGACAGCACGTGACACGGCCTCGTCCTGCTGGGCTTCCGCTTTATAGGAGGAGAAAGGGTTTCACGTGGTGTTTGGTTCGGAGGCCAGGGCTGAGCAGGGTGACGCCCTAGCGCCGACGCTATCGCCCCACGGCCTGTGGGCCCACGCCTCCTGCCAGCTGAGCTCTGCTCTGCTCCCCTCAGGAGAGCTGTACCGGGTCTCCTTGAGAAGACAGAAGTTCCCGGCCCAAGGAAGCATTGAGATCCACGAAGACAGTGAGGTAGGCGGGGTTCCGAGGCTGTGGGGGCCCACCTCTGTGCTCAGGATGTAAGGCAGAGCCCTGCTGGACAGGCTGCCTAGTTTCCATCCGGGTCATTGGCTTGCTGTGCGACCCTGGGCAGCATCCCCTCCTGCTCTGGGCTGTGGCTCTCTTATGAACAAGAAGGGCCTCCTGGGATCCTTCCGACCCAGACATTGAGGGGCTTGCCCTCCTGGCAGCCTGTGCCCCTCATCATATGGGGGCAGGAGAAGTCCCTGACTTGGAGCTGAGACAGGCTGGGCACAGTGCCTGCTTCTCTGGCTGCAGGCCACCCCCCCCCCCCGTGTGTGTGTGTGTGTGTGTGTGTGTGTGTGAGATTCATGGTGTTACTCCTCCCTGTCTCCCTGCTGCCTGTCTCTCTGTCCCCACCGATGTCCCTTCCAGGAAGTCTTCTCCCAGCGTTCCTGCAAGACGCAAGTGCTCCTGCTGGTGCTGCACGGGGGGAACGTCCTGGACACGGGCTCGGGGGACCCCTCCTGCAAGGCAGCCGACATCCACACGTTCAGCTCCGTGCTGGAGAAGGTCACACGCGCCCACTTCCCTGCGGCCCTGGGCCACATCCTCATCAAGTTTGTGCCCTGTCCTGCCATCTGCTCCGAGGCCTTCTCGCTGGTCTCCAAGTGAGTCCCTTTCTGCTTGTTGGGACTGGCTGGCGCTGGTGGGGGGGATTAAGTGGGGGGATGGCCCCCCGCCATGTGGGGACTGGTGGGCAGGGGATACCTGCCCAGGCCTCTCTGGGATGTCAGCTCCTGACTGACCGTGGGAAGTGGTCAGCAGAGTTCCAAGCAATGAGCATTGTGCACCAAGTCCTCCTCTGCCCAGGACCAGGCGGTGCTGGCAGCTCAGGTCCGCTTCCTGTGCTCACAGCCCTGGGTCTCGTTGGCCCAGGTGAGGGAGTTGAGGCACTGAGAGGTTAAGCACTGCAACTTCCCCCAGGGTCACCCAGCAAATGGAGCCAGGAGTCAAACCCAGGCAGCCTCACTCCCAGGCCACGTAATTAGAGTCAGTAGGGATGTGAGCTCTAACGGAAGTGGCACAGGGCACTGAGGACCCTCAGGAAGAGGGCCAGGGCGGCTGCCCGGAGGAGGTGACTGGTGTGTGCTGTGAGCGTAGCATAACATGGTTCGGGGCGTGGGCTCTTCGGTCAGCCTGGATTTGAGTTCCAGCTGTGTGACCCAGGGGTGGGGGTGGGGGGAGGTATTTAGCTTCTCCCTGTCTGTTTCCTCGTCAATAACAAGGGGATACTCTGGAGAATAACCACCTCCCAGAGTCTTCTGAG